CGGGTGCGCGACGGCGCGTGGTCCCTCAGACCTGCCGCCTCCCCTCCATAAACTGCCGGGGCTGATGTTAGGGTGGCAGGGCGGCGGCGGCGGCGGCACCTGATTCCTCGTTCAGGGCTGCCGCTAACGGGAGGAGGCCGATTTCCGCCGCCAGACAGTCCCTAGCAGGGTGGCATGGGACAAGCATCACCAGAGAGCCGAGCCAGAGCTGCGGGCTGGTACTTTTCCCGGCGCGCTGCAGCCGCGCAGAAACCTCTAGAGGACTAGTAATGAGCAGCCGCAAGGCCCCGGGCTAAAAATAAAGAAGTTTGATTAAAGCTCCTTGGCGTTTCCCAAGCACGGGTTACGGCGGCTTAAATCCAAGGGTGGAAGCCTCGCCACAGCCCCGCGAAGAAAAGTACAGTTTTCTTGGCGTGGTATGTGGGGTTCCTTGCTGTCCCCGCGAGGCTCCAACTTTTGGACGAAGAAGGGCGGAAGTGATGGGCGTGAGCTCCGAAAACCTTGGCCGATTCGAACGACCACGGCCATAGAGGACCACAGGACAGCAAGACAAAATGCTGTCATTTCCGTTCGGCGATGGCATTCTAAAGTTGGCTTTAAGAGACATGACGTTACGATGACGACACTTTGAGAAAGTGCCCTTTTGCGAGGATTAGTATGCCCCAATCGTGCAGACACGCATGTTGCAGTATTGACACAAAAATGGATGTAAGTGCTGCTATCACATGTAGCAACGTTAAATAAGCATGCAATGTGCTAACTTTTGCATAAAAGTCCTTTTAACGTTGTTTAGTCAGGTGTGCAGAACGGGCGTCAAGTGCTGTAAGTACTGTACAGAATATCTAGCACTTAAGTTGAAGCTTGGCCCTGGAAGGACTTATAAATTATAGCAGTCTAATTAAATTCATGGCAAACCCTATCCCAAAGGCATATTATGTTGATTATTTTCCTGTGTTCCCCCCTGTTCTTGCAGCTTCTGAAAAATGTGCAGCTCGAACAAATCTCTAGAACAATAAACTTTTAAAATTAAGTAGCAGCTTCCAATAATAATTGCTTTTAAAGTCTGCCAGAGAAAAAGAGTGCCTTGGAGTATTGCCTTTAGCTCACTATTAAGTAATTATGTACAAAGTAAAACTCCATGCATTACATACAGGTGGATTCATCACATCAGTAACATTGCAGATATTGATAACATTTAATAATTACCTATCTTCTGTACAAGTCCAGCCATTTTTAACCCAGCCTTTTCCTCTCTGTCTCCCCAGTCCAGAAATAACCAGACTGGCATTTTGGGGAGATTTAGCTGGCATATATAGGATCAAGTACACTCTGCTTATCAAATTTCTCTTACGTATTCCTTTCTCATTCAAGTTGCCATAATACATACACATTTGGAGGTCAGAAGAAAGAATGAAAAGATAGTGAATCGTACCTTCCTGAGCCCAGAAAACTTCCATTTAATAAACCAAGCATTACAGCCTCTTGATACTTCCAGAGCTGAACGAGCTATTGGAAAATTGTTATGCTGAAATGTTCACAAATGACAATTCTCCAATAGTATATTTTGCCTGTATACATTATAATCAGTGTCATGAACTTCTTTCTGTACAATTAGCCCAAACAAATACTAGTAATTAAAATATTGTGAATGTTCATTTCACGTATTATACATCCTTTTTCCTACATGGCCATAATATCAGTGTAAAACAGGTGGGCAACGTGTGGCATTTCAGATTTTCAGTGCTCCTCAGTTGTATCAAATATAACCCTGGAGGCTACAGCTGATGAGATTACATTTCACAACATCTGGAAGGCCAAACACTGCTTAATTATGATGTAAAAGATTAGTTCCTAATCTAATTACTTCAGAAATCCCTGTTTGTCCTCTTTGAATTTGCAAAACTAGATACTTGAAACCATTAAAATTCACCTCACTGTGCTGTGTGAATTAGTCCTAGATATGTATTATTGACTGTTGTAGAGCACAGCCACTGTTTTCAACAGTGTTTCTTTATAACATTTGTTCATCTATTAATTTTAACTGTAAGAAACTTAAATTTTCTGGTGGATGTCATTCATTTTCTTTAATAGCAGGAGTTGTAATTGCATGTCTATCCACTGAACTGGCAAGCAAAACCCATTTAACACAGTTGAATGTATTTCCAAGTAGACCTGAATAGGAATGAGTTAGAAAGAGAGGTGTACCTCTGGTGATTTCATCGCTTTTATCAAGATACAGTAAAGGCCTGACCTTAAAGGCCTAATTGCATCAATTATCTTTGGATCACTTTAGAAATTCTTCCTCATTTGCACCTTGAAAGAACTTTTGTTGGTCCTGAAGCAGTAATATCCGAACATATGCCACTGAAAAACATGATTGTGAAAAGACTGTTAATCACCTAGTAGCTGCTTGGCATTGGTTGGATTTCATCCAGTACATTTTTTATGTTATGAAAACAGTGTTACATACTGGATTTCCACAGGCAAGTAGGAAAAAGATATTCCTGCTTTTTTTTTCTTATTATTTGCTATTCCATTAACATGGAAACAGAGTATCAAAATCATTATACAAACAAGCATGCATTTCAAGTTTGACATATTAAGAATCTTGGCTTTAATACTCTTCTCATTTATTAGTTGTATAAAATAAAATACCTACCCAATTTTCCAATCCCAGATTATTTTTAAAAAATCAATAAAAACAAATGCATCAATTAAATTATTAAAATTGCAGGGTTTTAAAGCACATTAGCACAGCTGGAGATTAACACAGATTAAAGGCATGGTAGATTTTTTCTTAGGTTATTGCTTCCATCCCAACAGAGAAGGGACCTAATGAATTTTCATGAGGTTGCTCTATAATGTTCATGTTGTCATGAAAAATTCTTACTCAAATGTTTTTCCAAAATGCAGTATAAAAGATGATGGGACATAGAGCAGAATGTTGTATGTGGAAACCCATAGACAACTAGATTCCAAACTTTATAGATAACAATAACTAGCGGATTGAATTGTGCCTAGAAATGAACTGGGAGTCATTGAACAGAAATGAACATTGAACAGAAATACAATGAACAGAAATACAAGTAGGACACATTCTGAAAAACAAACCAAAAATGGACTCTGGCCACTTTATTTTTTTTTACCAGTGGAATTCTACAATTACCTCTTCAAGGTCTGGCTACAAATTGCAATAATCCAGTTTGTATGTTACAAATGAACGAACACAATATTCAGTCATACCTAGTACAGGAAAGGGTCCAGGTGACTCACAAACTGAAGCTAAGAAAAACTTCTTGCCTCCAGTACCATTCCCTAACTATGAATGGGATGCTTCAAGTAAAATAAAACCGTACCATGCACCAAAACTCAGATCAGCTCTCGCACAAACTAGTACTCTGTCTAGTTTGTTTTGTTTATCAGTGCATAGTTCACCCTTTAACCTGTTTTTCCTTGGTGGTGGTGGGTGATCTAGACTGTAGTTCTAAAAGGCACAAGGTTGGGGGAAACTGTGTGTGTGTGCGCGCGTGTGTATGAAAAAGAATCTGTTCCCACAGGTTTAGCTTTTATCTTTCTCTAATTATGTATAAGTTTGGGCAGATCAAGAGATTTATTTGAGATGAGACTGCTACCTTCTCCCATGGTTTAAAAAAGGATTAATGATAGGATCAGGTTTATATTTACCACAATGAATTTTAAAACTACTCTGTCAGGTCACTAATTAACCCTGCAATTTGAAATATCTGATCTGTTCCTGCATTGGTTTAAATATAATACCTCTTCAAAATAAGGTAATATCTCATTGGACAGGGATTCTTCTAAAAAACAGCTTCCAAACCTACCGAATTATTTCTACTATGCCTATTTTTTCAGATTTTTTTCTAATAAACTAACTTGGTTCTTACAGAACAGAAACTGACATGTTAAGAATCCCATGGATGATTCATGTCTGCTTTACATGCAAAAGCATCTGCCGTATATGCTGAGCAAAAACCCCTAGCATTTTGGCTGAGAAATCTGGAATTTTTAGTTCCCAAACAGGTGAGCCCTAGGGAAGGAACAATTGGTCTAGGTTCTTCCAAATCCAGCATTATGATATTTATAACATAAATTATTTAATAGGAGTTAATATTGCTACTACATTGGGCAGCTCTTGGATAGGCCATAATAATTGGATAGCCATAATAATTGAAATGAAGATATAACTGTGTATCTCCACTTTTCACAGTGCAATTATATAGACTTTCTTGCCATAAAGGTGAATGATGTCTGTTGCTCCTGCAGCATTCAAAGAGCACCGTAAAAAGAATTTTCTAGGTAAGTTATTGCCCTTTGTTCAATAGCAACAAGTTAAAAGTTTTTAAATCCTTAAAAATAAATTTTCCTTTACACAATTGCCCTTGTAGGCTCAGAAATTCTAAAGTAAATCCTGGGGTCTAGGTTCAGTACTCAATCCAAACTCCATAGAGGTTTGTTCTAAATAGTGGCTGGAGCAACATGAAACAGCTAAATATGCCAATTTTAAAGAACTTTTAGGTACAGTGTTTATAAGTTTGAGCCCTTTATTCTTAGTCATAATGCCTCTTTACCACAATAAATAATTCCTTGATTTCAACAATTTGTTGAAGAAATTTCAGCAACTTGTCTCAGTCCTTCCTGAGACAAGTTGTATTATTTAACCCTTCTTAATTGTTCATCATAAGTCACAATCTTCCTATTATCAATAATTTTTATTATTGCCCCATGAATTCTGTTCAATGTATCTATAACCTTTTGGCAATAAAGTTCCCAGAGGAAAATAAGGCA